GCTTGATTTGTCGGCTCTGGAGAAAACCAGATGGCGCGAAAAATAATGAATAGACCAAACGACTTATTTCTGCCTGCAATTTAAAAGAAAATTTTGCGCGGCTGACTGAAAAAAAATCGACAAAGACTTAAACTAAGTAGATAAGTATGACTATATATTAATTCCAACAACACCACCTGCCACAGAGAAGTGATGACAAAACTAGTTTCAAATAATATTTACTATATCAAATTCCATATTATCTGGATACTCTAATATTATAGCGTTGTGCCAGGTTAGTCTTTGTAAACATCTACTAATAGTATCAAATAATACAAATAGTACCTACAACTGAAATAGATATTCAAAAACAAAAACGGATAGCAGATGTGTATAGAAGAGAAAATAATCACATAATATAGATGTTGACTTTCCACAATGCTTCAAGCAAAAGGTCAGGAAGGAAACCCACATCACTTCTAGAAAGAACGATGACAGTTAGTGGACTCGAAAAAAATTTTTTCTCAAAAACTGTTTTAATTAAGAGAAATATTTTATATTTTTTCAACCGACAGTAACGCGAACTGTTCGATCAACGAGTGCCAAATGTTTCCTTATACGGAAACGACTTCATTTCAACATTACCTTTACCAATAATTTCTTTGAAATCATAAAAAATGGTCTTCTGATAAATGCTGCAATTTATAATGCTGAAATTCTACTGGAAACACAAATCCGAAGTGATTTTGATTCTATCTCGCTTTTTTTTTCAGCTCATTAAATCCCGAGACTTTAAACAAAAGGTTAGGAAGGAAACTCCTATAAAGACTGGAAAGATAAATAACAATTACTGGTGTTGAGAAAGCTATTTTCCTGAAATTTTTTTTTTAATGAAAGATATTATTATTATTATTATTATTATCATCATCATCATTCGATTTCTGCTATGGACACACTACCTACCAAGTCTGCGGGAAAGACCTAAGGCAGGTCGTGGTGTGTTTGTTATGGCCACATTTCATGTTAATTTTTTTTTTTTTTTTTTTTTTTATCTCCGATGAAGTTGCTAGCGTTACATAGACAAAGTTCTCCTTAGTGTGTGTGCTGGTACTTAATAAGACAATTTTCTGTATGTCTCTTAAGCTGGGGTTTCAAGGGATTCTTTCAATGTGTTGTTTTGTTCCATTTTTATAATTCCAAGTGCACCTATTACCACTGGTATTATTCTTGTTTTCAATTTCCACATTTTTTCTATTTCAATTTCCAGGTCTTTGTATTTTGATAGTTTTTCAAATTCCTTGGTTGCTATGTTTACAATCCGCTGGACAAGCCATATCAATTAGTAGGCAAGTTTTTCTTTCTGGTTTTTGACAATGATGTCCGGCCTATTTGCTTCAATTTTTCTGTCTGTGTGGATGGTATAATCCCATAGAATGGTGACATCTTCTATTTCTGTAACCGGCGCTGGCCGATGTTCATACAGTGTTTGCTTACACATTTTCCAAAGTGTTTGCACATTGTCCAGTGTAAGTATTGCCCCACTCTATCGTGACGATTTTTATATTCATTTGGGGCAAGTATAGAACATCCTGAGATTAGATGATCTATTGTTTCTTGGTATTTGTCACAGAACCTGCATTTTGGATCCACATTATTATGTATGATATTTGCCTGAAAATTCCTAGTGAAAAGACTCTGGTCTTGCGCTGCAAGAATAAAGCCTTCAGTTTCAGACTTTAATCCAGATGCTCGTAACCATCGATGAGTATTAACTTTATCAACATTGGGTTTATTTGCACGTTCTGGATATTGGCCATGCAGAGGTTTGTCTTGCCAGCGTTGTTTCATCTGTTCAAGGGCTTTATCCTTGGCTTTCTTTTCATATCTTTTTGCTGCAATAGTTGGTTCTTGGCTTCTGTTTTGATTTACTACAGAATCTACTAAATGTAAATGTTGTTTGTATTTACTGCCTTTTTTATTATTGAATATTTTTTCTTTCTGTTTTCATGTTGTTTCACTAATTTTATCATCCAGTCATTTGTTGTTTCCATGTGAAGTTAGTAAGCCAATAGTTGTTGTCTTGTATGACAATTCTAGCTGAATAAGACCTCTTCCACCTTCTTTACAGGGTATGTATAGACGGTCTACATCAGCCTTTGGATGATGCATCTTATACTTAGAAAGAAGCTTTCTTGTTTTAGAATCCATTTGTCTGATGTCATTTAGAGTCCAGTTCAAGATGTTGAAACTATATTGGACCACTGGGATGGCAAGGTTAAATGGCCATAATTCTGTTCTGAGAATTCAATTCAGTTTTTAATACCAGTCGTACCCTTCTATAGTACTCTTTACGCACTATTTCTTTCATTTTCTTATGGTGAATTCCTTCACTCTCATTTACACCTAGGTATTATAAGCTTCTCCTTGTTCTAAATCTTTTATTGTTACAGCAGGGTCTAAACTAATAGAGGAATTTTGTTGTAGCGATCCTCGTAAAACTGTAGCTTTAGCACATTTATCCAAATTGAATTTCATTCCAATGTCTTCACTGAAGCATTATTATTATTATTATTATTATTATTATTATTAAGCAGTACGCCCCGAGCAAGGCGTGAAGCTACTAGGATGCAGGGGGTTGCAGAAGATTAGGAGCAAGAGCAGATAGGAGTGATAGAAGAAAGGATGAGGAGAGGGATAGTGGGTAGATCAAGGTAACTGGAGGTGTCGATTGACATTACATTTGAATAGTTGGAGATTATAGCTCTCAGGGAAACAGTAATTGGGAAGGGTGTTCCACAGGCGAGAGGTGCGAAGTATGAAGCTATTGGAGTAGAAGAGACGGCTACATTTAAAAGTTTCTACAGTGTAATGGTGGGAGCGGGATGCCAGCCTCGTAGGGCGCTTGAATTCATGGAGTCTGGGAACCAGTGAAAGCAGCTCATCGGAGCAGTTACTATGAAAGTATTTGTAAAAAAAGACAGAGCAAACAAAACTAGCACTAGCCACTTGGCCAGTCGATGCCGAATGTTTCGTCATAAGAAAACGGCGATTACCCTTACCTACGTTTGGGAAATATTTAAATTTCATTAGATATTAGAATAATCCTGAATATTTACTGAGAACAAACCCCCTGTATACGAATAGAAAGTGAATTGTGCAAGAATAAAATAAAAATTAGAAAGGGGCATATGACAAGGATGCGTTTTCTTACCGGATTTATTCAACTCATAGACCGAGATGATCTTAAGTCTACCAGGTTTTATTATTGGCGGGGACAGGACTTAAAATACGCAGATGGCAGTGTGCTGATAGTCGACAAGGAAAAACTGCAGGAAATTCCTGAACCAGATAGAAAAGAAAGCAGTAAGAAAGGAATAACCTTCAATTGTAAGAAGGAAGAATATATGCTCGTCAGCAATTTGGATAGCTCAATATGCTAGTTACGAAGTGGAGACAAGCAAATAGGAAAATTTAACTATCAGGGAAGTGTTTTGATTGATTGATTTGTTTTTTTGTAAGGCTTGTTAACTTTTTCTCAGGTTAAGTAAAGCTAGAAAATATTTGTAGCTTGTAAGAATATCTTTAGACTATAATGATTTGCTGATGCAAGACCTACTATTTAACCCATAGCTGGGGGGAAACAGGTGGATTCATATCTTTCCCAAGGGTATTTGCGCGTAACGAATCCGACTTGAATTAAAAAACGGCTCTCCGATTACGGAAACTGACACTAAAATACAAAGGTGTATTAGAATGGCGAAATATGCCTTCCATAAGCTAAACAGAGTATTACGAAACAGGAAAATTATTTTCGAAACAAAGAATCATTGATTGACTCGTTTTCCAGGGTTTATCAACACTTTGCGTGTTATTTAAAGCTTGAACATATTTTTAGAATGTAAGAATTTCTTTTGAGATAATAATGATTTAGGGATACAAGTTTACTAATTAACCCATAGCTGGGGGAAGAATAGCTGGATCGTACCTTACCCAAGGTTATTTACACGTAAGTGAACAAAATGAATCCAGCTGGAATTGGAATTCGGTTCTGCGATTAACAATTCCAAGTCATTATCCATTAAGCAACTCGCATATCCGAGGTTACAGCATTTGGCATTCCCAAGCGGTCGCCCATCCAGGCTCAACGTTGCTTAACTTCGCTTAATCGTAGGGGACTGATGTTTCAACGTGATTTGGCAGTAAACATTCGAAAGGAGGAGTAGTATGCTTAATTGCGATGCAATAACAATTTTCCTGTATAGCAGTGAATGCTGGACAATTTCCTCACAGATGAAGAAGGGACTTGAAGTAAAATAAATGGGATTCTACAGAAGGATGCTGAGGATAACTTCGACAGAGCTTATAAGCAACGGGTAAGTTTTAAGGGAAATAGAAACAGAAAATACACTTCTACGTAGAACCAGAAAGAGATAGTTGAAATTTCTAAGATACTTAATGAAGGAAGAGGACTTGGAGAATTTGACACTCACAGGGCCTACAGAAGAGACTAAAGTGTGGACATCCAATAATCTACCTAAAGAGCTCATGTAAATGGATGGTAGAACAGGGACTATGTGAATTATTAAGGAAATAAACATTGATTAAAGCTTGAAAGGATAAGAAACTGTGGAGAGCCGTGATCATCTACATGCAGAATTAACACGGTAGATAAAAAACAAAAAGCTTGAATATTAGGTTGTAACAGCTGGTATCTGGTAAAAATTATTCGTGAAGAGTATGTATATTAGTTGTTTTTATTTGGCAGTCTTTCAACCTTATGGATTATTTAATACCGAAATTTAAATATTTTATACATATTTTTGTTTTGTTTTTTTGAGATAATAATAGTTCAGTAATACAAGTTTTACTAATTAACCCATAGCTAGGGGGAGAATAGTTGGTTTCTAAGTCCCAAGTCTATTTGCGCATAAGTGAATATAACAAACCCAACAGGAATTGGAACTCGGCTCTCCGTTTAAAAGTTCATACCATTATCCATTTACACTACCAGCACATCCAAGCTTACAACACCTGGTATTCCTAAGCGATCACCCATCTAGATACTGACTAGGCTCGACATTGCTTAACATCGGTGATCGTACGAGAACCGGTGTTTCAACATGAAGTACGCATATTGGTATTTTCGAAGAAAAAAATAAAAGTAGAAAGTCCGTTCCTATTTTTTCGGCGTCTTGCAAACCGGGGCAAAGTGCTTCTTTAGAATGGAGGTCACTCGGGTGCAAAAGCCGAATGGGAAGGAAAGCGTAAGTGACAGTAAATAGCGGAAACCGAGTAATGGCGCAGATATTAAGTAAAATTGCCGAGTATAAAAAATTCTCCCAGACGGCAATCAGTCTAAATGCATTCAAAGCTTTTATGCCACTCGACAGCTTACAACAGTGAAAAGTTAGTAACATCGGTATCCTGTTGTTCTGAGTTGGGCAGCAATTATTCGCTGATACAAGTTTGGTTAAAGACCAACGAACGTTCTTTGTTAAGGACTTATTGATTTTTTTTCCATATTTTGTGCAACTTTCCTGTTTTCCGCTACATATTTAAATCTAAAGTGTAGAATGTCTGAGTACCTTCGTCTTTCATATGCCACTATCAAAAAAAAATTACCTAAGCTAAGCAACGTCAAACCTGGTCAGTACCTAGATGGGTAACTCTGTAGGTTCTGAAAGTTTGGATGTGCGGGTGGTGTAATGAATTATAACTCGGTATTTTGTTTCAAAACTCACCTAAGCTAAGGACTGTCAAACCTGATCTTAAATAGGTCGCAAACAGGGAGGAGGCTTATACTTAACATCAGGAAGAGGCAGTTGAAGTTCCTGGGCACATAATGAGGAAGGAGGGCCTGGAGAATCTGATACTCACAGGTCGAATAGAGGAAAAGAGAGATAAGGGAAAACAGGGCATGACATATCTAGCGGGCTTTAGCAAGTGACACTTATTTTTTTAAGCCCCAAGCGTTCTACTGAAAGAAGCTGCACCTTGAGAACGAACCTGGTGTCTGGTCTAAGCTGCAATGCAACGATTATTTATTCGGTCGAGTTAGCCCCGACATGCATGAGTTTATCGTGCCAACCATCACTGTCCTGCATCAAGGTCGGAAGGACATTAGGGTGGCATTTTGTTTCATAACATAACCCATAGCTGGGTTAAAAGAGGTGGGTTCATACATTTCCCAAGGGTATTTGCGCGTAAGCGAGTATAACGAATCCGACTTTAATTGGAAAACGGCTCTCCGATTGGGAAGTGCTTTGACTGATTATGGAAACTGTGACACTAAAATACGAAGGTGCATTGGAATAGCGAAACATGCCTTCCAGAAGCTAAACAGAGTATTACGAAACAGGAAAATTATTTTCGAAACAAAGAATCATAGGCGCTTGCTGGGCGACCAATCCGTCTTGCTCCATGGTTAGGTGTCCAGAACAGTAGATCACTAGCAAGTTCTTGCTTTGTTCGCCAGCAGTGTCCTACAAAGCGAATTCTGCGTTCGCGTAAGATTGTAGTAATATTATGGACGGATCATTACAGCTGTGATTTAGTTGGATGTTGTCTCCAAGTGATGTTAAGTATAGCTCTCAGCATCCGTGTGTAGGTTCATTCAAGCTTAGACTCTAGGTTTGGTTTGGTTTGTTTTGTTTTACAGCATATCAACATCTCAATGGGCTATATAATGCCGATAAAAATTTTTATTGCTGGTAATATTTTTTTCCAAAAATATTTTGCTGGTAATATTTTTACTATTAAAAAATCTATTACTACTAATATTTTTTTGATCAAAAATCTATTGCTGCTAATATTTTTTCTTCAAAAATCTATTACCGCTAATATTTTTTTCACCAAAAATCTATAACCGCTAATATTTTTTCTCCAAAAATCTATTACTGCTAATATCTTTTTCCATCAAAAATCTATTGCTGGTAATATTTTTTCTTCAAAAATCTATTTCTGCTAATATTTTTCTTTTTCATCAAAAATCTATTGCTGGTAATATTTTTTTCAAAAATCTATTACTGATATTTTTTTTCAAAAAATGTATAGCTGGTAATATTTTCGTTTTTTTTCAAAAATGTATTGCTGGTAATAATATATTTTTGGTTTGGTTTGTTTTTTTTGTTTTACAGCATATCAACCTCACTGGGTTATTTAATGCCGACAAAATTTTTTATTACTGGTAATATGTTTTTCTTCAAAAATCTATTTCTGAGAATATTTTTCCTTGAAGAAATCTATAGCTGGTCATATTTTTTTCAAAGAATGCATAACTGTTTCTGTTGCTGGCATTTCTTTAAGTATTGCTGGTAATAATTTTTCCTTCAAAAATTATTGCAGCATTTTTTTTTATTACAAAGTATATCTGGCATTAAAACCTATTTTTATACAAGTTTGGGTGTTAACTATTTGCCCATACCTGGGACCCTAACAGGTGCTACTACCCCGGGTCAGGGTGGACCTGGGAACACTAGCAATTAAGAGGTGGTTCCACGCTCCTCAAAACCTCCTGATCAGAGGCCTTGCTGTTAGGCGTAGTTTATCGTCTTACTCAGGACGCGGATGTAGTTTATCGTCATACCCAGGACGAAAAATATATTTTTGGTAATATTTTTTTTACAAAAAATGTATTTTTGTTATTAAAACCTATATTTTACACTTTCATAGCGTTTTGACCCCAGTTTGGGGTTAACTATTTGCCCATAGCTGGGACCCTAACAGGTGTTACCACCCTGAGTCAGGGCGGAACTAGGAACACCAGCAATTAAGACGTGGTTCCACGCTCCTCAAAACTTCCTGATCAGAGGCCATGCTGATGGATATAGCATATTGTCTTACGCGGAACGGTTAGACTCTAAGGTTAATGTCCAGTCAGTGGCACCATATGTTAACACTGTCTCTACAGTGGTTCAAAAGTTTATCTCCTTGAGTTTGCTTAGATCGACTCTTTTACCGAGATCATGCGCTCTAACGTGGATCAAAATGTCATTTGCCTAGGATCAATGTAGCACTTCTTTGCTCAGTCCTGGATGATAATATCGCTCCCCAGAGTTTCTGCTTAGTGTCTGTGTATTATATGTACGCTCATTTTTATATTAATACCTAATGTCAGCTGGTTATCATTGAAGATCGAGTGACAGCAAGTCTCTTCAAATTAGCCCCTTTCCAAGAGCTGCTACTTTATGGAAGACACCCCCCCCCGAGGATACTTCCACGATCACTAAATTCTTAACCTCTTTAATTCTGGTGTTAACTGTTATCTTTCTTACATATCCTCATAACCTTTACTTACCTCTTCTTATTACGTTTATACAACAACTTTATTCAGTAAGCCTGTACCCTCAGCTTTGAGGCTTTATTTAGTGAAAAATAGTAAGAAATATTCACCACACTTGATTCGGTGTTCTTGTTCGGGTCATTTTCTGTCTTTGTGCGAGTCTATAATCAATCTAATCAATCTAATTTAGTGTTTGTTTTTTCGTTTTTTGTTTTTTTTGTTTTTTTGTTTTTTTTTTTTTGTTTTGTTTTTTGTTTGTTTGTTTGTTTTTTCAGTCTCCGGACATGGTCATGGTATATTTCTATTTTTCCATTTTCTTTTTTTTTTTTTATCCTGTGATCTGCTGGGCACATCTATGATTACAATTTAGCAGATTTACTTTTCTTTGTCCTAACAAACAGGTCCGTCCTTTTTATTTGGATTTAAGGGTCGGTCAAGATCGCAAAGTCCCACATTAGGATATAGCTGTGTATCTAGTTGGTGTTTATAGCACTTGTTTACGTGGTCGAAACAGTGCTGCTTAAACAATCGATTTATCATCTCATAGTCAATGGAAATTCGTTTCTTGGAGCATGGTTTCAATAAGACTCCGCAAAACATAAGAACTTTTCGACGAATCCTCACAGAGTAATTAATAACAGTTAACTGGGGGTCTACAATCTTGGTCTCAATTCCAATGTTCCCTGAGCGCTTTCTGAAGTGTGTACGTGGTGTTCCAAGTGCAATCATTACGGCAGGAATTACTTCAAAAATAATGTTCCATAGCTTTTTCAACTCCCAAGCGAGATCCTGCTATTTTTCAATTTTCTTTTCAGTTTCTTTAGGGTCTAATCTTGTATCAAACAGGACAGCAAAATCAATAATTTAACAAGTATTATTATTATTATGAGGTTTAATCTTGTTAGAGAGTAATTTAAAGTGTCAAATTGTCAAGCCCTTTTTGGAATCTATGAGTTAAAATGCCATTTAGAAGAGTTATCTATACACATTTGGAAAGTTTCGTTTAGGTAGAGAGGGTTTTTCGGATATGTGCAGTAATCTTTTGTAGCTCTGAGATACTGATGTGTCCAGAAATTTTACTCACATAATTTTCAGTACCCTTCTTCATCATATCCAAATACCCATTATTATTATTATTATTATTATTATTATTATTATTATTTTCTTTGATTTCTGGCGTTTACACATTTCTTTCCGGGTCCCGCCCAGGGACCTAAGGTTAGAAATGGCGTCATGACACTTTCCACTGACAAAAAGAAAAAAAAAATTTAAATTACATAGATAAAGCCCTTCGTAAGGTGTGGGCTGTACTTGTCAGAACAATTTTTTGTATCTCCTTGAGGCATGGACTTCCAGGAATCCCTTCAATTAGTCTACTGCAATCTTTTCCAACCAGTCCTAGGGCTCCAACTACAACAGGGATTGTTGATGTTCCCATATGCCACATTTTCGAGATTTCTATTTCAAGGTCCTTGTATTTTGACAACTTTTTGAATATCTTCAAAGATACATTGCAGTCAGCAGGGACTGCCATATCAATAAGGAGGCACCGTTTTTGTTTGTGGTCTTTAATAACAATATCTGGCAGGTTGGCCTTGATTGTTCTGTCAGTGTGTATTGTGTAATCCCATAGAATTGTAACAGGTCCTATCTCCGTAACTGGGTCTGGGTGGTGTTCATACCAGTTTCTTTCAGTTTCCTTCCCGTAGAAGTTGCAGATTTTCCAGTGCAGATATTGGCCCACTCTGTCATGTCGGGTTTTATATTCAGTGGGTGCCAACACCGTACAACCTGATACATTATTATTATTATTATTATTATTATTATTATTATTATCA